GACTTTTTTTTGCCCCCCCCCCCTGTAAAAAGCTCTACTAGCATTTTAGGCCGAGTAGGAAACCATCGTGCCAACTGCCTTTAAGGAGGAGGAGCAGGTAGCAGTCGTAGGGGACTATGTCAGGACAATCTGATGAGCGGGGTACGGTCTCCCTAGCCTTGCTCCCAAATTTTTTGGTAGGTCTCCATAGCAGTGTGAGGACTCGCGTCATCTTAAATGAGGTGACCCGAAGCTAGTCTCGGTCATTTTTCTCCAACAGTTTCCACGGGTTTCTGGAGCTGAGCGGCACAAATGGTAGCGGTGACCGTGTGTTCTTACAGGGCAGCTCGTTGTGCAGCATTCCCTCGCGTCCCGGAAGCAGCACAGGAGAACCTTCTCAAAATGCATGCCCGGTTTGGACTGCTAGGATTCGTCTTCTCCTTCAGTGAGACACACGGTACTTGTGGATTGTAATCACAGAGGACCCATCTCTCATCTCCACTAAGCAGTCTCCTAGAAACTCCTTTTGACGAGGGCGGAGAAGGGGAGACTGACCAAGGGGTACCCGGGTGCACAGCGTGCCATCGGTCATGGTATGAGTGATCCATCGAGCCAGTACTTTTCGGTAGCCAAGGGCTTACAGGCGGTTGACGACTGTCATTTAGGTACATCCGAGTCTTGTCGCAAGACTGCGGGTGGTAGCCTCCGGATCCTCCTTGACAGCTTCGAGAATGGTGGAGTCTTCCACTCCCTTCGTAGGGCCGTCCCAACCGAGGTTTGCCTTCGAGGATCGTGTCTCCTTTCGCGAAGCGAGCGAACCAGTGGTGGACAGTCCTGATGGTAGTGGTGTCCTCCCCCAATGCACTGTTGATGTTGCGGCCAGCTGCCGTCGCTCCAGTGCCGCGGGACTACTCGAAGAAGATAGTGACATGAAACTAACATTGTACTCGAACCCAGGGGGAGCAGGGGCCTTTATATGCCCCTCACGGAAAAGCTACAGAATGTTCTACAAGCAGAGCATGTTACGTCATGTTTGAACATGAAGAATCAAAGACTGTAAGCTTTCAAAAAACACTGACAGGACTTTCTTTTCAACCTAATAAAGGCCTTCAACAGACCACCGCCCCCGCGCTGACAAAAATGCGTACCACGCTTATTTAGCGTGTTGTTATGGACCTTGTATTCTTGTTACTGTATTGTTGTACCTGTGAACGCTGTTTTTTCAGTCAAAGAGCATAGAAAGGCTGGCCAAGTTAGAAGGACAACCACAGGTATGTTCATACCGTTTTTCTCTATAAAGCGTCTGATAATGACATTTATCCCTTCCAGGAGAAGATTGACAAACTCCTACGAGAGATTCATGTGCTTCTATCGCGAGTGGATCACTTAGAGGAAGAACATCGCAAAGCTGTCTCATTTATCAAGAAGCTAAGAACGAGGCTCAGCACAAAAGAACAGGTCTCGTAGTCTCTTCCACAGACAGTTCAGCTGCAAGCAAAATTCGGCAATGTTGTTACTCGCAGTCAGTCATCGCGCAGTTTTCGGTGTAACCGGCGACCGAGTGCAAAAGCGCGCGATAGTGTCTGTGAGTCAAAGTCCCTCCATGGCAAAGTGCGGTGCTCAGCACTGCAGCGCCCATGTCTTGCACAATAACTAGTTTTGAAGGAATCACCATCGCAAATCTATCTTTTTTCGGTCCCGCGCGAGAGTTTGGTATAGCTCGTGCAGCTGGTGCGGCATAATGCACCCACGGATGCTTTCCGCATAGTGCTGCATACTGTTACCTGTACTCCCGTTGATCATCGAGTTCCTCGAGCGGGCGCCAGTAACGTCTCCATTCGTCCCTGCAACGTGCAAGAGTTGCCCAATGGACTCTCTCTGCTCGAGGGACACGATGAACTTCATACCATTCGTTCAGAGCTTTCACGAAGAAGTCTGACCATCGCGTAGGCGGTCGTCCAGGCGTTCGCTTGACATCCCGTGGAATCCAGTCGGTGATCGTGGTCCAGCGGTCGTCCTCGAAACGCATGACGTGCCCGGCCCACCTGATCTTCGAAACCTTGGCAAATGCGGCGGCGTCTCTGATCGTCGGCGGAGTGCGGAGCTCCGGATTCCCTCTCTCACTTGCGTGTAGCGGGAAACTCCGAGCATCGCCCTTTCGATGGCGCGTTGAATAACGCCGATGCTCATCCTGCTTTCGTAGAGTCCAAGTCTCTGAGGCGTACGTCAAGGCAGGAAGGACCGCGGAATCGAAGAGGTGGGCACGGAGCTTGGTGTTCTTCGTCTTCTTCGCTACTCCCTCGATCCCCGAGCCGCTCGCTTCCTCCTGCTCAGCTCTGGTGCTAAGTCGTTCATCATATTGATTTCACGACCCAGGTACACATATCTTA